ATTGATAACAGAGCTATCTCTTTCTCCTCAAAACAGGGTATCGAATTGGTGACGGCGTTGTCACCGTACCAAGAAATACACTTTTCCAGAACAGAAATGTTCTCTACAAAACGTTTCGATCTGCGCAGTCCCTTGATGTTAAATTCTTTCTCTCGCCACATGGTCCCGTGCAAGTTTAAAATCGCTTGCTCACAAAGTGAGTTACCATCTATTGATTCCGACAAGGCTACAAAATGTCTCTCTCAGTAGGCAGCACATCTGTCTTCAAGCGATCTTTCGTTCAGCGCGAATGCATAGAAAGGATCTTTTCACTCAAGATGAAATGAAATTCCTTTTAGACAAGTATAGTAGAAGCGAGATAGATCATTTTGTTGCTTGGATGTAAAGAGTGGAAAAATGGCGAAAAGCCATGTAAAAAGTGGTAAAACGAAACAAGAAAGTAAAGCTCTTCGAAGCTCGTAGGAAGTGATTCCATCGAACCGATAAGCTCTAATCATGTTTATTCTCTGACGTACTTTTTGTTGTGGTTTTTTGATCATTAAACCCCACCCTAGTTTTTGTGAAATATGGTAGCCCAAATATTTATAACTCCTCACTCAGGATATCTCATTTCCTCCACAAGAAATTTTTGGTGTAGGATTTTGTACTGCTCTTGCGCTCCACATACTTTCGGTTTTTGAATAATTTATTGGTTGGAGATTTAAAAGAGAATAAAATTCCAGATTATCATCAAAAAATGTTTTAAGCCTCTTTTCTAAGTCCTTACATTGTTCTGTATAGCGAACGCCAATTCTTCCAGCTAACACGGCAGCGAGATCATCAGCAAAAAAATAGGGACACAAACCTCTAAAAAGTCACCTATGTCTGAATGAAAGGTGATGAAAAGTGTGGGCATAAAACAGGAACCTTGTGGTCCTCCTCTTTCGATACTGAACCATCTCGACCTCAGTCCTTTTATTTCAATAAAACCTCGCCGATTACTTAACCACGACCTAATCCATCTCAAATAAGAAACCCATTTTGCGTAATTTTTCTAAGAGCTCTTAATCCAAAGTCGATCAAATGCAGACTTGAAGACTATGAACACCGTCGCAACCGGCGACGAGTTTGAAATTAGCGATGAAATCTGTTCGATAAAAAGTAGGGCTCTTGTTTGTAATTTCAAGCCCTTTTGTAAATCAAGACTGAGAATCAGGTAACAATCTCTAATATCTCTCTAATAATAATGTCTCTCTAATAATTTTCTGAAGTGATCTGTGAAAAGTCGCTCATTTACTTTTAGAAAAACGTCTAATAGAGAAATAGGTCGAGTCTCCGACGGAGTACAAACTGAATCTTTCTTTGCAAGAATAATCATTCTGGTCTCTCGCCAGGCAGATGGAAGAATTGATGTAGCGACTGAATAGTTAAAAATTCTCAAAATGAGAGACTAGTAAGAATTTGGAATAAAATTAAAAAAATAACTGTATCACTAAACCAGTAAATAAGGGAAATCAAGAACAGACAAAATCCTAAATACATCCCCCATTCTCAAAGCATAATGTAAATAAGCCACAATATAATAAGTATCACGCATAACAATATCCAAACCAGAATTTGAAAGAACAATACCATTTAATCCACTATAGTAAAAATAAAGCCCAACACTCAAACCAATAAATAATCAAACTTATAAATACCCCTGCTAAAGTACCAACTAAAAATTTTAATTACTGTGGGAGCAGCGATAGCCATAGTAGCAGCAGTAAAATAAGCACGAGTATCAACATCCATACCAACAGTAAACATATGTTGAGCCCAAACAATAAAACCAAATAAACCAATAGAAATCATAGCATAAACCATCCCAAAATATCCAAAAATTTCACCTTTCAAAGAAATACTTATAACAATTTGAGAAATTATACCAAACTCAGAGACAGTCGAAATATAAACCTCAGGATGACCAAAAAACCAAAACAAATGTTGAAACAAAATAGGGTTAAAAGACTAACCTTGCTATTAAAATAAGTAGTAATAAAATTAATTCCACCTAAAACAGAAGAAATCC